ATCTGCTGGTAGTGTGTTGTATTATGTTTCGAGTTCCTCTGACCCTTGGCCGCTTGGCCCAGTTTTCAGTACCTTGAAGGGGGATACATCTCGGAAGACCCGTCAGTACACCAAAAACCTACGCACATCGGTCTTGGGCCCATTCTTGTTACTTCGGATTTCATTGCGGCTCTGTTTCGCAAAGGGTAAGTTTCCCCTGTGGTTCGTAGAACCCTGTAAAGGCGGACGGTTAGAGACCATATTCAGGGCCCATGAAGCTACCCTAAGAGGTTTGGTTTAGGGTTTAGGGCTTAGGGTCTAGGGTTCAGGGTTCAGGGTTCAGGGTTCAGGGTTTAGGGTTTAGGGTTTAGGGTTTAGGATTAGCCCTAAGCCCCAAGCCCCAAGCCCAAAGCCCAATCCCAAGTCCCAAATCCTGATCCCTAAGCCCTAAGAGCCCGAAGTCCTAAGCCCTAACCCCCCCTCGCGAGGTATAGAGCGACCTGGACCCGAGGCGATGGTGCGCTCTGGCGTCATTGGTTCGGGTTTAGGGCTGCCAACTACAGCTAAATGAGGCTTTCTGGGCACGGATCAAAAGAGACTGCCAGCGTTAATGCTGGAGTTGAGCACGGTCTTCGGGAGCTTTCATGCGAACTCAGCAGGCTGTGCAACACATGTTACATGCTGCAACACATGTTACATGCACGATGGAAGGCATCGGGCTGTCAATGTAGGGTTTACAAGACTCCGACCGAGAAAACAACCCGCCACGCTGCCCGAAAGTAAAAGGCTTCGGCACAGGACGACATGTAACTCCCAAGAAGCCCTAAATCCTGAGCCCCAGGGTCAATGTGGAGCTGCCCCATTGCACCCCATTAGAATCACAATAGCCGCTGTTGCTGTGACTCGGCTAGGTCTTGTTACTGCTACTGCCGGATTACTCCTACGACTACCACGACCACTTTCTACTACTACTACTACTACTACTACTACCACTACTACTACTACTACTACTACTACTACTACTACTACTACTACTACTACTACTACTACTACTACTACTACTACTACTACTACTACTACTACTACTACATACTACTACTACATACCACTACTACATACCACTACTACATACCACTACCACTACCACAATCACAACCACCACAATAACAGCAGCGACAACAACTACAATCAGAAATTGTTGGGACCATTACTATCATGTATCGTTATCAATTGTCGTCCTCGACATCATCGTGATCGTTTTCCATGATGTTGGTTATCACCACCGAGGGGCCGCAGACCTGAAACACCACGCTGGCACTCCTTCCCATAAACTGGCCCCAGCCACCCTGTAAGACAACTGCTTCAAGATGCTGGCCAAGGACCGTTTCGTACGTGGCTGAGCTACGAATAGTGGCTTCTAGGCAGCCAGAGTGATCGAAAACCCCGAATCGCATAAGCCTCGTTAAAACCTTTTTGAGCCCTGTAGGCCCTACACACTGCAACCGTAAACCCTAAACCCGAAACCCTAAACCCTGTAAGGCAACCGTTTACGGCAAACCCCGAACAAGGGGCGAGTTGGTGCTTTGCGTCGGTTGTTTTTTGGGGGTTTAGGTTTGTAGGGGGGCTGCAGCGGGGTTTAAGTTGAAAGGGCTGTTAGGTCTTACAGCTTACAGGGTTTGGGGTTTATAAGGGGCCAAATTGCCTGTTAGAGCCTGAAAACCTTAAGCTTCAGAGCCTCTAATTTACGCATATCCCCCCTGAAATTTGAACGGATTAGGGTTTAGGGTTTAGGTCTAGGTTTGGTAGCCCAGCAGCTACAGTTTTTTCCGCTTAGCAAGGTTTGGGCTTTTAGGGTTTTGCGGTTTAGTGTTTAAGGCGGGTGCAAGACATGGAAAGTCAGATTTCGATCACATGTAGGTCCCGAGTTGTGCACACCGTTGATCTCTCGGAGGCATGCCGCTCGAACAGAGACAGGAAACCAAAGAACCCGAAGCCCAGAGGTTTGGGGGCTTGGTATCGCGGGGGATGTTGGCGAATTCCTCGGTTGTTCACTTTGATACCGGGTGGGGTACCACTTTAAAGGGGGACCATGATTTGGGGACTTCAGAGATCTGGTCGTGGGAACATCATGCCGACATCACTTTAGGCTTTTGCTGCGTTCAGTGCTGCATTAATCCCTGAGCCCGATTCGAGCTGTATATTTCTAGATCGTGTTTTTTGTGGGGTACCTACTACGGTATCCCCAGGGCTGAGAAAATTGGGGTCCAAATGTCCTGTAAGGAAAGAACAATCCCCAGATGCAGCGCTTGCTCCCAGACCCTCTAATCCTACGCGACTAACCAGAGTCACGGCTGATTGAGGGCGCGCCTCCTATACCCGCCGAGTCACCTGCAGCCTTTGCCGTAGCTGCAAGGCAACTGGGTTGCGTCCGCGAACTTCCCATGTTGGGTAGAGATTCTGAGGATTCGGTCGGCCTGTGAAAAAGGGCCCCTCCTCCTCCCCCCCCCCCCCCCCCGAGCCCACCCGAAACCCTAAACCAAGTTACACAACTCCGGGTCGAGCAGCTTGATGGCTAATTACTGTCCGCGCGATGCAGCTCCTTGATAGATGGGAGGGAAGTGGCTTCGCTAAACTATTAAGAACTTGTGGGGCTTGGGAGGAACGGCATGAAAACCGAACTTCCTTCCCTTCCAAAAAACAAAGCACAAGTCCCAAACCTCAGGCTCGAAGGACCAAGCGGCTTACGATCACATTTAGATTTCGGGTCTTCGGGCCCTTCACCCTCACCTAACCCCTAAACACTAAAACCCTAAACCCTAGCCCTAAACCCTAAACCCTAAACCCCAAGCGTAAGTTTCCCAGTCAGCGATGAGTCCGCCGAGCCTAGCCGGGGGTAGCAAATGAGAGAATTCGCGAGTCACGCCGCTGGCGCCTGCCTTCCGCTGGTCCCCCAAAACTAGGTTGTTCAAGGTAGGGTTTACGGGGTTTAGGGTTTAGGGTTTAGGGTTAGGGTTTAAGGTTTAGGATTAGGGTTTAGGGTTTGAGGTTTAGGGTTTAGGGTTTAGGGTCATGGGTCATAGGGTTTAGGGTTTAGGGTTTAGGGTTTAGGCCTAGGGTTTAGGGTTTAGGGTTTAGGTAGAGACCGTAGTTCCAAAAGCATCATTAAACCCTAGAACCCTTGACCTCAAGACCCTAGAACCCTCAAAAACCCCAGGGCCCTTAAACCCTAAACTGTAGGTAGGTAGACCCTAAACCCTTTGCCCTCAAACCCTAAAATGATACATCGTACTTGGACGGCGGTTGGCAGACACCCACACCATGGATCCGGCCCACCTGAGCTGTGGAAGCCCCACGGCCTCTCGGGCCTCGTTTCACCGAGCGCAGCGACCATCTGTGCAGTGGAAGAGGGCAGTTGGGGGCTTAGGGACTCTCTATGGATTTTGAGAGTTTTTTTTTATAGGTTTTAAGGGTTGAGGGTTCAGGGCTTTAGGGTTTCTGGCTGGGTTTGGGGTTGGGGTTTGGGGCTTTTGGAAGCGTTTAGGGGAGGTTTCGTAGGCACAGCATACCAAGCCTCAACTATCCTTGAGGATAAGACCGAGCCGAAGAGGGTTAACCCAAACCCTAAGCCCCAGCTGAAACTTGAGGTGTGGACCGCCTACAGGGCTGCAAATAGCCTTGGCCTCAGTGCGCTCGGGCTCTGGGTCCGGGTAGTCTTTCAGGCTTCCAGGGCTGGGAGTTCTTGGCCCTTAGTACCCCGGACTACCCCTCTACACCCGTATTTAACTCTAGGGAACCCCTACCTAGCCTAACCCTGTATAACCCTTTATAAGCATATATTTATTTGTTTATTCATTTTTGAAACGGAATTCCTGTGGTGCGGCGCAGCGTTCTCCTGTTTCGGGTTGCGGGAGCAAGGCTTAGGAACCCTAAGCCCCCAAGTCTATACATGCTAGACAACGAGGGTTGAGGGCTCGGGAACCAAGACCGACAGCTAGTTGCATCCAAAGTCATAGAACCCCAAACCAGGGAACCCGATCAGCCCCCAATATCCTCGCAGCAAACCCAGAGAGGGGACTGGCCCGAGATAGGTAAAATCCCTAGGGGTTTGGGGAAGGGGCTAGGGGGAATTAGGGTTTAAGGATTTAAGGGAAACCTCTAAAACGGTCCAGACATCAGCACACAAGCTTGGGCAAATGCCCCCGGTTGAAGAGCCTGAACCCATGTAGAATTTGGCGGGTCTTGTTCCCTTTGAACGTGCTGCTAGATCAATCAAGCCCTTAATCCCTTAAACCCTAAACTCGAAACCCGAAACCCTCAACTCAACCCTAAAGCCCTAAACCCTAAACCCTAAACCCCAAATTTTCAACCCTCCACCACCCAGGTGCGGACCCTGTTAGCCTGGTGCCGAGCCTCCTTCCCGATGCCGTGGCCGTGTCCCTTGCGAGGCCATTGGTGCTTACTTGTCAAGGTTTGGGGTTTGGGGTTTAGGGTTTAGTGTTTAGGGTTGTAGTGTCTAGAAGGCCATGAAGGCCCTGTACTTCCAGTTAACGATTGGGCCCTGTGATCCTAGAAAGGGGCGCTTGGAGGTTCTGGGTGAACCCCGAAACCCCTGAACCCTCAGCCCTAAACCCGAAGCTTCAAACTTAAAACCCTGAACCCAGAAACCCCCTAAGCCGCGATTGCCCTCCCCCAAATCCTCCCGAAGACCCCTTCAATCCTTAGAACAGCCCTATGAGAGAAGTGTTTAATTCCCTTTGTCCATACCTACAGAACCCCGCTTAAGCCACGTAACCCCAAAAGCAGGGCCTGGTACTGGGTCGGTTTAGGTACCTGCTACATTATGTAATATGTACATATCTTGATTCAAATCATTTCTTCAAAAACTACCAGTTATGCCATTTCATACGTCATCACCTGAAGCTCAGTGCAGAAGAAGTTAGAAGCACTGGAAGGAACCATGTGACTTCATCCCTTAAGGCTGTAGGTCTCAAGTCGGGGGGCATCCCAGCAGTCGCCCTGCAATGGAGACCGATCCGGAAGTTCTGTTGGATCGTGCTGCTGGCGCCATTCTCGGCGTCTTCATCGGTGATGCGCTGGGTGTCGGTGTGCATTGGCAGTACGACCTCGACAAGCTCGAGAAGGAGCGTGGCTATGTGACTGGATACCTGGACCCACTGCCCGGTACCTTCCATTCAGGGACAAGCGATGCCCCAGGAAAAGGCCAGCTTAAAGCAGGTCAGCTTGAACAGCAAGGGGAGGTGACGAAGCTGTTGCTGAGCAGCCTGGCAAGCCAGCGATGCCTCGACCAAAGTGATTTTCACGACCGCTTTGAGAAGCAGATCCTACTCGAGGAAACCATGGACGGAACACGCCAAGGAGGCAAGTATGGCTGGACAGACAAAACCATCTGTGATTTCTACAAAGCTCGCGTCGTCGAGAAGAAGCCGTGGACAGAGTGCGCTCTGCCTCGCAGCGACACACCCGACACCATTGTTCGCGGAGCTCTCATTGCAGCAGCCTACTGCCTCAGCCCACGCGCCATGTGCTGTCAAGTGCAGGCTCATAGCCGGGCCTTCACCTGCGACAGCAGCGTGCAAGCTCACTCCGTGGCCTTTGCGTGCCTCCTGTCCGGAATTATTCAAGGACTGGCTTTGAATAAAGATCTCTCCTGGAAAGTCTACACACAAGCAGGAGATCCGCTGCCTTTTTCATCAGTCCACAGTGAGAAAGACCATGATGCGGAGCAACCTGGCCACGGTGGTTTTTGAGCAAGCATGTGTTGCACCCACCTTATGGCAGCTGAAATAGCACAACCCTTCCTGCGCCCAAGACCACATCCCAAACCCTTCACCCTCAATGCAAAATTAGACATCCTAGTAGACGCTATAAGAAATCCCAAGACTTCCCAAGCCTCCAAAACCCCAAACCTGATGTAGCTTGACAGGTACGGGGACTACACGGAGCCCGACTCTCTACTTTGGTTCGGAATGATTGCCGAAGGCGTGCAGAACGTCGGAAAGCACATTGAGCCTGCACACCGTGGCGTGGAGCTCTACGGCAAGTTCTGCGCCTTCTACGGCGTCCTGGGCTCCGCCTACTATTGCGCCTCTCGCTTCCCAGATGACTTTGAGAAGGCCGTGCTTTGCAGCTTGAATGGCGGAGGCCAGAACACCATGCGAAGCAGCTTGGTCGGAGCCATGATGGGAGCCAGCGTCGGCCTCAAGGGCATTCCCAAGCACTTCATCGACGGCCTCGAGGACCACGAGAGCATCGCGAAGATGGCGCTGGAGGTGGCGCAGCATGCCCTGGATCGAGCAACTCCCTCGGATGCATGGCGGTGGCCCGAGGGCACTTTGCCGGCCATTGGCGTCAAGAAGCGGTCCGAGTGATTCTGGACGAGTCCGGATCATACAGCTCTTAGCCAAAGCACCTGCAATTGGAGCGCGCGGTGGGTCGGGAAGTAGCCAGGGTGCATCACCCGGACAACTGCCTCGGCAACTGGCGCGGCTGGACGGGGGAAATGCGGGCCCGCGTGTTGGTAAGCAGCAGCAGTCTTAGACACACACCCGAAAACCAAAGCCCTTGAACCCTCGAAGCCCTTAGGCCTGAACCGATGGGGCTTCTGGGGTTTACGCTCAAGGCTCGAGAGCTTCGAAGCAGCAGAGGGCTTGGGCCCAATGCCCCCTGAACCGCAAACCCTAAACCCTAAGCCCTAAGCCCTAAGCCCTAAGTTCTAAGCCCTAAACCCTAAACCCTAAACCCTAAACCCTAAACCCTAAACCCTAAACCCTAAACCCTAAACCCTAAACCCTAAACCCTAAACCCTAAACCCTAAACCCTAAACCCTAAACCCTAAACCCAACTCTAAGTCTCCCGCCAGTTCCTTGCAGCTGAACCCCTTGGCTGTGATTGTCAGCGGGTCGGTGAGCTACAGCAAGGCGCTTGCTGGTTGGGGGTCTCCACTGGAGATATGTTTTTCTTTGTTTATATGTATATATAGATATATACATTATACATATGCATTTATTATTCATTTGCTTATTTATTTAGATGTACAGGTACATATGTATATAGATTGATGGATAGATATTGTCCGGATCCTGAGAGGGATGTGGCTTGTCGTCTGCGGCTCTGCCGTACTAGGGCAAGTGCAGATACGGAGAGTGCAGTGTGCACTGGGGTAGTCATGGTAGTATTTGGGGTTTTGCATTCGGGGGGTCCATCAGGCTCCATTGAATCTGCCGGGAGCGCCGCCGGCTCCAGTTTGGACGCAGCATCTTGACTGGAGTTATGTTGTGTGGCTCTTCTGCTCGCATGTGGCAGGAAGCTGCTTATTTGTCTCACTGCATTCCAAAAACTATAGTCTCGCCTATTTATAAATTATTCACAAGAGCCGGTGCCAGACGTTAGCCTCATCTTGGGGAGGAAGAAGGGTCTGGCTGACTTGGTTAAATTGCTTGAGACGTCCATGTGGTACTGTAGTGTTATCGTGGATTTCGGCACCCAGATGAAGCTCTCTGTGGGCTACACTACTTCGCCTGACAATTCGGCCCCGAACGCTCGAGGCACACGGCCTTCTTTTCGCTTAACATCCACATTGTCAATGCCAGCGACATCCAGAGGCCCGACGTTTCACATTGGAGCAGCGACCTAGAGAACATGACGCCTTTCATCGAGTAGCGCGGTGTAAACCCGATATTGTGTGCCATGTCACGGATCGTCGAACACGGCTGTGGGTTTACTTTCCCAGTAGTGCTCTTATGCGCCTTTGTGGGGGTTAGGTTCTTTTAGCCCTATTACGCAAGGACAAGGGGCACCCTTTCTGAGGCGTTTGGAGAACCCTGACCTGATTCCTATATAAGCCCCCTGCAAACCCATTCACCAAAGCGCAAACAAAACAAACATCGGGCACCGGGCACCCTTGCATATTTTTGGGTCATTCAGGAACCTTCTTCGAGGTGTCCCTCATACACCCTATGAAATTCGTGCAATTTCTATGTTGCTATATTGATTTGCTTGTCTTTTCTTAATGCACAATGATTTCACCTTTTCGCCTTCAAACACTGAACCCTACAAACCGCAGCGTTTCATGTCTGAACGGTATTCCGTGACCCCCCTATAGCAAAACGGTGCTCGCATTCGCAGCCGAAGATCGGCCCTTGGCAAGTTGGGGTTTAGGGCGTTTAGGGTTTAGGGTTTAGGATTTAGGGCTTAGGGCTTAGGGTTTAGGAGTTCAGCTCAGCAAGCCGAATGCTCCGAAGCCTGACCGTCCCAAGCCTTTCAAAACTTTCAGACGGCCTGCAGAGTGCCTTCTGTGCCCGAGGATGCAGGCCTTGTCCGACATCACGCTACTGCCAGCTTTTCAGACTGAGGTGGGAGGGTTAGGGGGTTGGGGGGCCTGGGGGGCGAGGGGATGAGGGTGGGGTTTCTGAGGGTAGGTTATGTCGACTCGGCCTACAACGCAATGCACAAAGCGCCCATTAGTAGCGCGATTCTGGACTTAGGTGCAGAGAAACCCTTCTTCCTCCCAAACAACCCTAAACCTAACCCAAAGCCCACAAGCCAGCACTTCAAACGCGAAGAGGGGAGCATCGTGCAGCCCTGATTTGACACTTGGTGAGGCATTAGGGGCTAGGGTTTAGGGTTTAAAAGGTAAAAGACAAGTTAAAGCGAATGCGCAGGCAGCTTATTGCAGCTGAAACAGCATTTAGGCTTTGGGCTTGGGGTTTGTTTACCGATAATTCCTTCTTTTCCAGGAGGCAGCAAACTGCTATGTTTGCAGCCGTCATCCCTCAACGTTGTCAAGCCCGAAATGCAGACATGACAGGCGCAGGACCAACTTGCGCCTGTGGAACAGCGCTTGCAGCAGGCCATATCGCCCAGCTGTTTAAGCGTGTTGAGTTCGGTGATGCAGGAGCCTATAAGTGACCCATGTCATCCCCTTTTATAATTCGTAGGGTTTGGGGTTTGGGGATCCGGCTTGATGCCAGCGAATGAAAGGCTCTGTCATAGGCAGGGATTTGCAGAGTCCAGATTATTGAGCATTCTGCCCCCCGGAAGCGAAACCCTAAACCCTAAACCCTAAGCCCTAAACCCTAAGCCCTAAGCCCTAAACCCTAAACCCTAAACCTCACTGACTGGAGGTCCGGGTCTGGTACATGTAAGGGTCTTTGGTGCTTTTGGCCGCGGAAGGAGCTCAACGATGCCTTTCCGACCGCGTCAAACCTGGAAATCTCGCGACTCGAGATCAGCGTCTGAAGCCTGGAGCGTCCTGCGGGGTTTAAGGGTGGTTTAAGGGTTCGGATTCGGGTTTAGGGTTTAGGGTTTGGGGTTTGGGGTTTAGGGTTTAGGGTTTATGGGTTTAGGGTTTAGGGTCTAGGGGATTGATGGGGGCGGTGGTAGGGCAGATGCAGCTTCCGAGCGCCAGGAACGACCGAAGCCAGCCAACCCGACCTCCCACGGTTTCCCGCGGCCCGAAGCTCCGGTGAGTGGGGTTTAGGGCTTAGGGTTTAGGGTTTAGGGGGTTTCTCGACGTAGGTCCTTGAAAGCCTATAGACCCCTCAAGCCCCGAAACCCTGAAGCCGTTCTAAGGCTCAAAGAGGTCTCGTCTCTGAGTTCCCCTCTTTTGTGGAGACGACGACGGCCGCACCCGCGGAGTTTCTGCTTGCTTTCTGAAACCCTAAACCCTAAAGCCTAAACCCCAAACCCTAAACCCTAAACCCTAAACCCAGGCCTGTCAGGTTTGGGGGCCACTAGGGTTCCAAAGGTTTCGAGTTCCAGGCCCGAGGCTACATGTGCCTGAGATGCTTTGAATCGGAAATAGCCGCGCCCTAAACCCTACACTCACGCTGTCAATCCTAAGCCCCATATACACCCTAAACCCTACCCGCTGAAGAGCTTGAACTCTGCGTCCTGGGTCGTGGGCTCAAGGCTTGAGGGGGGCCATGGGCCCCTCCCCCAAACCCGATCCCTCCCCTTCTTCCCCCCAAACAGGGAGAGCGAACAGCCTATAACTTTTTATTTTTTTTTTGGGGGGGGGGGTAAGGGTTTAGGGTTTAGGGTTGAGGAGGGGGTTTAGGGTAGAAGCCAGTGGTCAAGACGACCATAGTAGAGTCTCAAAGAAGCTTGCCTTTCCTAAATCAGAACCCCCGTAGTACCCTTATTTTGATTTTTCCGGTCCTGAAAACCCTACTAAACTCATCAAGTCATCAAGGACACCCTGCTTGTTATACGCTTACTGGGCTGCGCTTTCCGAAACCCGAAACCCTGAATCGGCGAGGTCGTCACCACCACTACGCAGGACATCAGTCTGCAGATCCAGCGGTGGCTGGGCTGAGGATGTGCGGGCTTTGGTATATCTGGTACTACATCAACCGGGTTTGAGAGTCTCATATTGAAATTGCAGAATACGCTCTAAACCCTGAACCCTGAACATGTCACCCTCGTTGACTTTCAGAGGATCTTATGCAGGAAGATTGTTCAAAAGCTTTCAAAGGCCAGCCTAGCTGTGTTCCGAGGCCTGAAGGGAAGGGGCAAGCCTGGGTGGTTGGCTCCCGGCCCTGACTTTGAAGTTTGGGGTGTAGGGCTCGCGCTTTAGGGTTTAGGGCTGGGGTTTTAGGGTTTAGGGTTCAGAAAGCCCTGGCGACATCGCCACTCCGTCTCAGATCCCCGAACCCTGAGGCACCTAACAGCACCTGCACGTTTAAGGATGGCTCAGCCCTAGTTAAGATTTTAGGGTTCAGGGTTGAGGGCCACGCCCTGGAAGCCGCTCCAATGGTTGGGTTTCGGGTCCCCTCCGGCCTTTCTCAATATGGAACCTTGAGCCCTCTAAGCCCCGAACCCTCATACATGATGTAGAGCACTCCCTAGACCCTAAACCCTAAACCCTAAACCCTAGACCCTAAACCCTAAACCCTAAACCCTAAACCCTAAAACCTAAACCCTAAACCCTAAACCCTAAACCCTAAACCCTAAACCAAACCAGGTGGCGGGCGTGGCGTATCCGATGCATGGAGGGGGTCGTCCACCGATGGGAGGCGGCTGGGAGAGCTCTGGGGTTTGCTTGGGGGCTTCGGGGCTTCAAGGCATGAGGGTACTGCATAGGACCCTATTTTCCTGCAGCTCGATGGGTTCTACCGGTTATTTTTATAAAGGGTCGTTTTTGTTATGTTTTTGTGAAGACGTATCAGGCTGCAGGTAAACAGCGCGCCCCGGGCCGGTTTTGGGTTTGGAGCTTGAAGATTGCCAGGTTGAACTGTTCGTGGTTGAGGGGGCTTGAGAACCCTATCTAGGGTTCAGGGTTTTTGGTAGAGTCATGTAGAGTCCGTAGAGTCAAAAGTTCGAGGTTTCGAGGCTTAGAGCTTTTTGGGGTTTTAGGGCTATTGTCTGT